TTCGATATACTTCCTCGGGGACCCCCTTAACCCTCCGTGTATGCCTTTGGCATTGTACTTGGGGTATTAAACGCCGTCTGCTCAGCTAGAGTGTAAACCCTGGAAGGCAGGGACAAGATCTCTCTCTCTCCTGTTTCCCTAGCATAGTGCCTGGCTCATAATAGTAGTTACTCAGTAGATGGCTTGTTGGGTAAATGAATGTAATCTTTTTACTTAACAATAGCACGCTTTGCTGTTGCTGCTGACTGTGCTTGCTTGTTAAAGGTGAGCTCCATGCTGTTTCTGTGGCCCTCTTTTTTTTTTTTTAATGGGTACATGGCGTTTTGTACTTTTCTCTTTAGAGATGAGAACATTGAGGTTCAGAGAAGTTGTAACTCACAGACCCAACCTATTCAATTACACTGTCACATCCCATTATTTTTCTCAGCACAATAGTTTAGACTTCCACGGTGTGCCATATGCTATTTCTCTGCCCCTGTAGATTTGGTTTGTCGTACCCATATTAAAATCACTACACACAAAATTCAAACTAGCCTGAAAAAAAAAAATCGTTATAGGCCCCTGAGAGCATTTTCAATCCTTCCTCTGTTCTGTTTTGCTCCCTCTGTCATAAGATCACTTGAGCATCTCTTTGGAGCTTCTCCACTCATGAACATCCCCAACAACACAGATATCTATTCAAGTTCAAAAGGGAATAAAAAGTACAGGCAGGGTATACAGGTACTAAATGTGTTTTTATGCTGGTTACTTTATTCTCCTCAAACTATTCTAATTCTTTGAGCACCCCCCCAGCTTCCACCCAGGCATTGCTTCGATATACCTCTTCGGGGTCCCCCTTAACCCTCCGTGTAAGCCTTTGGCATTGTACTTGGGGTATTAAACGCCTTCTGCTCAGCTAGAGTGTAAACGCCTGGAAGGCAGGGACAAGATCTCTCTCTCCTGTTTCCCTAGCATAGTCTATGCCTGGCTCATAATAGTTACTCAGTAGATTGCTTGTTGGGTAAATGAATGTAATCTTTTTACTTAATAATAGCACGCTTTGCTGTTGCTGCTGACTGTGCTTGCTTGTTAAAGGTGAGCTCCATTCTCTTTCTGGGGCCCCCTTTTTTTTTTTTTTAATGGGTACATGGCGTTTTGTACTTTTCTCTTTAGAGATGAGAACATTGAGGTTCAGAGAAGTTGTAACTCACAGACCCAACCTACTCAATTACACTGTCACATCCCGTTATTTTTCTCAGTACAATAGTTTAGACTTCCACAGTGTGCCTGCCATATGCTATTTCTCTGCCCCTGTAGATTTGGTTTGTCGTACCCATATTAAAATCACTACACACAAAATTCAAACTAGCCTGAAAAAAAAATCATTATAGGCCCCTGAGAGCATTTTCAATCCTTCCTCTGTTCTGTTTTGCTCCCTCTGTCATAAGATCACTTGAGCATCTCTTTGGAGCTTCTCCACTCATGAACATCCCCAACAACACAGATATCTATTCAAGTTCAAAAGGGAATAAAAAGTACAGGCAGGGTATACAGGTACTAAATGTGTTTTTATGCTGGTTACTTTATTCTCCTCAAACTATTCTAATTCTTTGAGCACGAGTCATACATGTACAGGTGCCCTTAATAGAACAAGAGTGCTTCAGCAGATTTGTGAATCATATTTTTCTCATTGGCTCCCATTATAATGTCAGAATTGCTTTCTGTTGGAAAAATATTAAAAATAATAAAACTGCATTTGTGCAACAAATCTTTTAAAATTGCAGAGTTAATGGAAAAATTATAACTTTTCCCGAAAAAGAGTAAAACTACATATTCCAAACGGAAAGAAAACAACTTGAAATGCAGAATCTTCAGGAAATGACGTTGTATAGACGGCCAAGCTTTTCAACTAAGTGGTTACCACATAAAACATTTTTTTTTATTAAGTATCTGACATTTATTTTGAAAATTTTACTTTAAATATTCTATTCTTTTTTAAATTTTGTTTTATTGCTTAAAGTATTACAAAGAGTATTGTATATGTCTCCTTTTTTTCCCCTTCATGACATTCCCCCGGCCTCCCCTATCCCCCAGTGTCTTATGTCCATTGGTTATGCTTATATGCATGCATACAAGTCCTTCGGTTGATCTCTTACCTCCCACTCCTGCCCCCCAACCCTCCCCAGCCTTCTTGCTGTAGTTTGATAGTCTGTTTGATGCTGCTCTGCCTCTGTATCTATTTTTGTTCATCTAAAACATTTTTTTTAAATGGGGAGAAAATCTCAGTAGAAAGTGTTTGCCTTTCCTTTTGTTTTAAGATTGGTATCTCTGACTAAAATCTGTTCAATTCTATTCTTTCATGCTTTCTCATAATGGCATAATGAAACATTAGCTTTATTATATTTCCAGTATCAAATTCAAGACCATGTGTTTTATGGACCCACAAAATACCTGCACTTTGCTCATGAAGTCCACTTGTACTTTTAGTACCTTTAATAGCATCTATCTTAGGATAAATTGTTCTGTAAATTATGAAATTATCACAGAGCCTCTAAAGTTGGTTTGGTTGCTACCCCTGAATCAGGTCTCCTCAAGATGATTCGTTCCCATACTCATCAACTCTTTTATTTGGATGAGAATAATAAAATAATCCAGTTTATTTTCCCTTTATTTCTTTTAACATGGAGAGGAGTTTAATTCAGGCTTCTTGCTCAGCAATTATGCTCTTTTTTATTTTTTATGTTCTATTTTGACATAATTGCAGTCTTTCAGAAAAGTTACAAGAATAGTAAAAGATTTCCTTTTATACTCTTCTCTTAGATTCCTCAAATTCTTAACATTTTACCTTTTCTAACCAAATTCTAACATTTGCCTTATCTTAATTTTCCTCCCCCCAGACACAGACACGCACAATTTTTTTTCCTGAACAGTTTGTTAGTAAGCTGCAATTTACCCTTAAATACTTAAGTATTTTTTTTCTAAATTAAGGGCATTCTCTTATTAAAAGACATTCTTAATTAGGAAATTAACATTGCAGCAATACTATTATCTAATCAGCCTTTACTAAGTTTTCATCAGTGTCCTAATAATGTATTTATAAGAAAGGAAAATTACAAATCATTGCCGAATTCAGTTGTCATTCATTACTCTTTAGTCGCTTCTAATCTGGAGCATGTGCTCAGTTTCTGTCTTTCATGACACTGTTAGTTGAATTGTTTTGTAGAATGCCCCTCAGCTTGGGTTACTAGCAGTTATGTTCTTAATCATCTCATTTTATAGGGCAACCATCCAGACAATCATCTGTCATTCTCTTGGCTTAAGTTAGATAGCTTGGCCAACACAAAGACAGCTTTATTTTATTTTAATCATTTTTAATATTAATTTTGTTCTGATTGCAAAAACCATCTGTATATTCTGTGAGCAAACTAAGGTAACTGTTGCTAAGATGTATATCCTTCCGTACATATAAAGAAAATGGGTGCATATATTAAAAATAGATATTTAAATATGTATATGCATACTCAACTACATATTTATTTTTTACCAATTGAATATTACTGTATAGAGAGAGACAAAAATACTGTGGCCCTCTCTTTTTAATGGGTACATGGCATTTTTTTTAATGGATGTACTATAATGTGTTTAACCAGTCTTAATTAGTGTTTAGGTTGTAAAAAGAACATCATTGTTTGATGGAGTATTTAATTAGTAGGATATATTCCAAGTGGTGACATTATAGGATCAACAAGGTACACACATATGATATTGTCAGGTTGTGCAGAGAAACTCTGAAACACTTTTTCGTTTTATTCCTGTACTTTTGGCATTTGCTATATGCCATACTAAGGCCTTATCAAGCTAATATAGTGCTCAATTGTAGATTAGTACCTTATTTCTGTTACCTAATCAATGCAAACATTCTCTCAAGATAATTCTCTCAACTACTTTCAAGTAATTATGAATTGTAGTCATTATAACTGCTAATTGAAGGAATTGGGAGTTTTCTCTCCCCAAGAGAGGCAACCACGATTGATGACTTAAGGAAGTATTTCATTACTGAAAGTACAGGCAATCCTGAATTTTAGAATTTACAATGAAAGAATGCTGCTCCTTGGCCTTCAGAGCTCCACTCGCATGTGGTAGTTCTGTGTTCTGGAGTGACAGCCAACAGACTGCCCCTAGCCCAATTTTGTTTTACTGTACTTTTGGCATTTGCTATATGCCGTACTAAGGCCTTATCAAGCTAATATAGTGCTCAATTGTAGATAAGTACCGTATTTCTGTTACCTAATCAATGCAAACGTTCTCTCAAGATAGTTCTCTCAACTACTTTCAAGTAATTATGGATTGTAGTCATTATAACTGCTAATTGAAGGAATTGGGAGTTTTCTCTCCCTAAGAGGCAACCACGATTGATGACTTAAGGAGTGTTTCATTACTGAAAGTACAGGCAATCCTGAATTTTAGAATTTACAATGAAAGAATGCTGCTCCTTGGCCTTCAGAGCTCCACTCGTATGTGGTAGTTCTGTGTTCTGGAGTGACAGCCAACAGACTGCCTAGCTCCATGGTCGGCAAACTGCGGCTCTTTGGCCCCTTGAGTGTGGCTCTTCCACAAAATACCACGTACGGGCGCACATACAGTGCGATTGAAACTTCGTGGCCCATGGTTTTCGGCCTGGACGAGTCTATTTTGAAGAAGTACTGTTGATATTTGGCTCTGTTGACTAACAAGTTTGCCGATCACTGGTAGCCCAACCTTGCCACCTGTGTGTCAGGCTTTGTAGACTGAGAACCCAGTAACTGTTAATTGAGTTTAGATCCAAATGGGGTCAAATAAATTTTGGTAGACTAGCTTGGAAACCCAGTATCCAGTTAGGTTTCAATTAGAAAACTTAACTTTTTGTTTTACTCCAAATGGAGGATGCCCTCCTTAAACACTAGCTCAGCAAAATAAATGTCATTCCTAAGGTAAGCCATACCCGGAATATTTGGTTTGATTTAGGATAATGGTTCCTAACGTTGATTTCACACTAGAATCACTTGGAGATCTTTAAAAAAAAACAGTGCCTGCCCCCAGAGATTAGGATTTGGTTAGTCTTAGGTGGAGCTGAGGCATCATTAGGTGACTCTAATATGTAATCAGAATTCAGAGTAACATTTCATGACTTTTATAATGTCACTTTTACAAGTTTAAGAGTCATGTTTCTTCCTAATGGGACAGGGAGCCCATTATAATTTGTGGCACACCTGAAATATAATGTAATATTAGCTAACTAGAATTATGAAAAATAAAACTTGGCTAAGTATAGGAACCTATATAAGTGATTGGGGTGACGGTATTGTATTGTGTTTTTTTTGTTTTTAATTCTTTTGAAGAAGGCAAAAGCAAAGAACTGAACTAAAATTGCATTGAACTCTATTAAGGAAAGTAGCTATCCTATATAATAAAAGTCTAATATTCTAAGTGTCCAGTCGTCCATTCATCCAATCAAAGCGTAGTATGCTAATGATATGCTGAGGCCACTCAACCACTTGCTATGATGTGCACTGACCACTAGGGAGCAGACAGTTGACTGGTCGACCAATCACTATGATGAGCACTGACTACCAGGGGGTAGATGCTCCGATTGGTAGGTTAGCTTGCTGCTGGGGTTTGGCCGATTGGGACTGAGCGGAATGGGCAGGACACTCCCTAGGACCCTCCCACGGTCCCTCCCTGACCCCGATTGTACACCGGTGGGGTCCCTTGGCCTGGCCTGCGCCCTCCCAATCTGGGACCCCTCAGGGAATGTCGGAGAGCTGGTTTCGGCCCAATCCTGCAGGGCAGGTCAAGGGACCCCACTGGAGCATGAATTCGTGCACCGGGCCTCTAGTTTTTAATAAGGGTCAGTAAACTTTCTGTTTGGGCCAGATAGTAAATATTTTAGACTTTGTGTGCCACATATCTATAACTTGTTCTTTCTTGTTTTGCTTTTTTCAACCTGCTGAAACATAAAAATCATTCTTAGCTTGAGGGCTATCTAAAAACAGGGCTGGATTTGGCCTATGGACCATGTTTTTTGCCAACCCCAAATCTAAGCATTTGTCACTTGTTTTTCCCATGAAACACTTTTGGTGATGAAGTTATCTAACCACTTTTTATTTTTGTTTTGTCTTAGTTAACTCATCTGCTTACACTATTTACATGGGAAAGGATAAATATGAAAGTAAGTTTTCAAAAGCATTTGATTTTGAAATTTCCAGAAGGTAAGTGTTAATTGCTTTTCCCCAATGGTTTGTTGGATATGAGTTTTCAACTACTACTAACCCATTATAAAGAACTCTCAGGGATGAACCTTCCTAAAATTTAGTTATATTAGATGATATTTAAGCTAATTGGACCACCTTTTTGCTCAATAGAAACTTTACAAAGAGTTTTGATTAGGTTGATATGACTCAGAGGTTAACCTTTGCTAGTTTAGATTAAATAAAAATAATCTGTGACTTGGACTTTGAAAAGATCATTTTCTGCACATTTTTACCACATTTAAGGTTAGTGGAAACCTATCTATTGGTTTTCTTAGGCTGAAGATGGCTTTTCTTTAACTGTATTTTTATTGTTAAGACTTACAGATGTCCCCATTTTCGCCCCCTTTGCCCACCTTCACCCAGTCCCTATCCCCCGAAGATGGCTCTTAAGTCATGAAATGTTAACAGTTTTTATCTAACTTGGTTGACCATTCTTTTCAGAATCAAATACATTATTTCATACCATACACAATCATATAACTAAATGGTGTACACACTTACGTAACTGAAACAAAAATTTACAAAAAAAATCCATATCATTTGCTGTGCCCTCTAATTTCAGTTTTTTTATGTTTTAAAAGCTACACTCAGCCTGTTACTTTTTTGACTCTCTCATGAATTGGAACTAAATCTTAAAAAGAAAAACATTGCCTGAGGGGATAACCTTTTTGACTGCAGGAGGGAGATGAAAGTGAAATTTAGCTTTCTTGACCCAGAGAGCAGTGAATCCACAGTACTGACCCTCAGGGTACAGAACACAGAAGTGAGGGAGAAAAGAAAAGCAATAAGAGCTCCAGAGAAAAATGCCAGAATTACTCTTCTTTAGGCTTAAAGAACACAGCTGCTTATCTCTCAGGGTAGTGTGATGTTTTGGAAAAGATAGCTCTTAAATCAAGCCAATTTGGGTTACAATTCCAGTTTTCTAGCAAACTAGCTATAGTTACTTAACCTCTTTGAACCTCAGATTTGTTAGCTGTAAGAAGATGATCAAGGGATGGTATCTACCTTGCAGGGTTGTGACGATTAATGAAAGAGCCTGAGTAAAGTATCTGAGCCATAGTGGGCACTCAGTAAGTAGTAGTTACCATCACTGGAGCTTCTTTAGTTCCTCAAAGCTGCCTCCTTCTCCACTGGGAACACTCAGGGTTGATGGCTTTTCTTAGTAGTCTGAGAGCTGGCTAATTCACTACAATCACCTTTCTTTAACCTCCAGGTATTGCTTTCTGTTTCTTTTCTAAAACCATCAGTGTCTGTTCTAGGTGCAGTTTGAAACTGACAACAGTTTAAACTTGATCCTTTAAAAGAGGCAAGTATAACGTTCTTCAGTATGAGACATTTTACATTAATGAAATAAATAAGGCCAAAAGTTAAAAGATGTCAAAGAGCAGTGATGTAATTATATACAGGCTGTCCCCCAGAAATGTATACACATTTTTCTGGGATAGCTCAATTGATATATCTTTTCAGATTTAACCCATTGGAATTAATAATTATTCAAAGTGTGTATACATTTTTGGGGGGACCCTGTAGTTAGTATATGTATATTTATTTATATTTAAAATATGACATGTGTATAATATATAGCATATATGATATATAATAATGTGATAGGTAATTGTTATATAAATATAGTTATAAATCAGATCTATATAAACAGTTTAGAACTTTGCTATAATACTGGTTGCTATAAAGCAGAATCAGTATAAAGCAAGACTGTCACATCCTAGCCAAGAGAAAAAAGCAAAACAGAACAATGTAACTCATTTATAAACAGTTTTTCCTTATAATGAATTTATGACATTGACTCTGGGTGTGACTTAATGGAGAAGCTGTTTGCAATACAGTCAAATCTCGGTTCTCAAATGTCTCCCATTTTGAACGATTCTGTTCTTGACCAAGTTGTTCCCAGAAAAATGTCTTGGTTGTCAAACAAAACTTCGGTTCTTGACCTGACAACCCTTTCATGCTGATACCTATATGATTAGTCGTCTCTCAGGTGACAAAGGAGAAAATGCATGAGTATGGGTCAGTTTACTGTTAAACCTCACATTGTTAACATCTCAGGAAATTGTACAGTGAATATTTTGGTGTTTTTTGCTTTTGTTGCTGGAATAGATTAATTTAACTTACATTATTTCTAATGGGAAAAAATGATTTGGTTTTCTATCAAATCGATTCTTGAACAGCCTTCTGGAACGAATTAAATTCAGGAACCAAAGTTCCACTGTATATCAATACTAAGGTTTATATTTCTCCTAGCAACCCATAAATTGTCATTGGTAATTTGTGTCTTTTTTCATAGCATCCTCCTGATGAATGTAAGCTGAAGAGGGCATGCTACCTTCCTGTATTACATAGAAATAAGACACAGTTATAAGAGCTACAGTAGATATGGGTCCAAACCTGACCAAATCTACTTTTCTTTCTGTTAGCAAGTATGCAATCCCAAGACTGAGGTTACTGAGAAGCACCTAAAGCAGAGCTGCTGTGTGTGGTTGTACAGGTTTTGCACTGCAGTTCGGGGCTGGGACAGGGGGAGAGTCTCTTATAATGAAGAGCTGCCTTGATTCTGGCTCACACTGATGGGCTGCCTGTGGTGCTGACTGACCTGAAGAAGCTGTGCTAGTAACATTCCCCATGTCTCTTATTCCTCCCATGTTAGTTTACTCTTTGCTGTGTCTATTTGTGTCAGCCTCTGTGAATATCCAAAGAGGAAGATTTAGTCTGTGTCTTCATAGTATTCAGGTAGAGGCACATACTAAAACAAGTATGGGTCAGTTTTGCTGTGAACTTCAAAATGCTTAAAAAAAATAAATAAAGTCTATGAAAAAGTATGGGCAAAATATATTAATAGCAAATACTGTCGAAGTGGAGGGGGCAGAGAGTAAATGTGACTTGGGCAAACTGGGAAAGCTTTATGGAGGAGTAGATTAGGATGGGTTAGATTGTGGAAGCCTTTATTTAGCCTGTTTTCTTTGGTGTGGAATCCTTTAAATGTCCTTTAGAGGAATTTAAATACAGAAATAGAAATCTAGATATAGAATTTATGTCTACTTATGTAAATTTAGATTCTATCTAGAGTCCACTGGAGTGGTGTTTGCTGTCACTAAAATATATGTAGGAAAAAAAATCTAGGTATGTATAAAACACTTTCCCCCCAAAAATTCGTGGAGTCATTTGGAGGCATCATCTTTTCTAGTCTGCTTTGTAAGAAAGGTGTAATATATATACGTTGCAGCGCAGAAAAGTAGTGGAAGCATAGAGTCAAATTTCTTATAAAAATTTTTTTATTATTTTGATTATTTTTTTTGAGAGAGGGAGGGAGAAAGAAACATTGATGTGAGAGAGAAACATTGATTGGCTACCTCCTGCATGCCACCTCCCTACCCCCACCCTCACCAGGGATCAGGCTAAAACCTGGGCCTGGGCCCTAACCCAGAATCAAACAATGCCCAACCAACTGACCCACACAGGCCAGGGCAGAAAGGTATAACATTTTTAAAGCACCCTATCCTAGTGCTCCTAGCACATCACACTTAATTTCAAATAGCTTTGATGACTTCAGACTAAGGGCTGGATGGAATATAAATGAATTTTTAATTGAATTATTTACTTTCCCTTAACAGCTTTCAGGTATATTCCTTTTATAAGCCAGTAGGTGTCACCAGGGAGCCAAACATTGCCTAAAGCAGTGGTTCTCAACCTGTGGGTCGCGACCCCTTTGGGGGTCGAACGACCCTTTCACAGGGGTCGCCTAAGACCAGCGGAAAACATATATAATTACATATTGTTTTTGTGATTAATCACTATGCTTTAATTATGTTCAATTTGTAACAATGAAAATACATCCTGCATATCAGATATTTACATTACGATTCATAACAGTAGCAAAATTACAGTTATGAAGTAGCAATGAAAATAATTTTATGGTTGGGGGTCACCACAACATAAGGAACTGTATTAAAGGGTCGCGGCATTAGGAAGGTTGAGAACCACTGGCCTAAAGGAAAAGGTTTTTAGATTTCCCTTTATTTTTTCATGACCTGTTGGCTATTTGCTCAGCTTCCCACTTAAGCTAGTAGATGGCCCTTCAGAGAACTCATGGTCCCTGCAGTTGCTAAGAGTACCTTCATTTAGGGTTTATCATCCTTTTGCTTTTCTGGGGAAGAAATACCCCATTGAAGCTAGATAGATAATACTTTCTTGGGTACATTTAAAAAAAATACATTTTATTGATTTTTTACAGAGAGGAAGGGAGAGGGATAGAGAGTTAGAAACATCGATGAGAGAGAAACATCGATCAGCTGCCTCCTGCACACCCCCCACTGGGGATGTGCCCGCAACCAAGGTACATGCCCTTGACCGAAATCGAACCTGGAACCCTTCAGTCCACAGGCCGATGCTCTATCCACTGAGCCAAACCAGCTAGGGCAGTGGTCGGCAAACTGCGGCTCACGAGCCACATGCAGCTCTTTGGCCTCTTGAGTGTGGCTCTTCCACAAAAATACCGACTTCTGCGCATGGGCCACGAAGTTTCAACCGCAGTATATCCACTGAGCCAAACCGGTTAGGGCCTTGGATACATTTTAAATTATATATTATTTTGTTTATCTTAAAATTTTTAATTTTGTATCTAATATTTTAATGTGTCTGTATTAAACACAATTGATAGAAACATCAATGATGAGAGAGAATCATTGATCGGCTGCCTCCTGCACGCCCCCTACTGGGGATTGAGCCCACAACCCGAGCGTGTGCCCTTAACCAGAATCAAACCGGGTACCCTTCAGTCCACAGGCTGACACTCTGTCCAACTGGGACTAACTGGCCAGGGCTCTTGGATACATTTTTTTTAAGTATTTTTTTTAAATATAATTGATTTTTTTCATAACAGATAGAGAGTTAGAAACGTTGATGAGAGAGAAACATTGATCAGCTGCCTCCTGCACACCCCCTACTGGGGATGTGGGCCTCTTGAGTGTGGCTCTTCCACAAAAATACCGACTTCTGCGCATGGGCCACGAAGTTTCAACCGCAGTATATCCACTGAGCCAAACCGGTTAGGGCCTTGGATACATTTTAAATTATATATTATTTTGTTTATCTTAAAATTTTTAATTTTGTATCTAATATTTTAATGTGTCTGTATTAAACACAATTAGTTACTAATTATTCATAGCTATTAGAAGTACAAGGTTGGGCAAAAGCAGATTTACAGTTTTTCATATAGAAAATAATACAATAATTAATAAAATTTCAACAAAAGAGTGCGTATGTGCCAGCAAAGCCATGGAGGCTATTTACCCTGATATGCTATTCCATACATAACCCTATACTGTATACTTTATGAATCAATAAAAAATTTACAATTTTTAATTATAAACCTGTGTTTTCTATCAAAAAGTTTGCCCACCCCTGCTCTAACCAATTGAGCCACACTGACTGGGCGAGAGAGACATTACTTTTAACATTTAGCTATTTCTTCTATTTTATTTTCATGAATTTTGTCAGAATTTTAGACGAATTTTATTTTCTTTTTTATACTTCGGGTGTTTGATTTATTCTTTCATTTTCTGCAATTTTATAATTGAGAAGGTTTTTTTTTTAAAGAAGTAAAATGTAATCCATTGGTTTTAAGATTTTAGCAAAAGCATTTTTACAGTCAAACCTTGGTTGTCGACCAAAATTTCAGTTTTCGACCTGACAACCCTTTCATGATACCTCAGCATGATAAAAAGCATCTCTCAGGCACCAAAGGAGAGAATGCTTTTCTTGCTGGCTAAATCTACCTTTAGCACAATTTTAAAACATAAAGGGGCCATCAGGAGTTGGTAGGGGTGTAAAAGTGCTCACGAAACAGCTAGTATGGGCAATTGAATGGAGAGAAAAACTGTTGTTGATTTGGATAAAGAAAAAGCAGTTAGTTGGTGATAGCATTTTGGAGGCAGTGATATAAGAAAAATTCCTTTAAAGCTAGTAGGGGGTGGTTCAATAAATTTAAGAAAAGAAGTATGTTTATTTATAGATTAAGAAGTTCATTAGACATGTACTGTATATAAGAAAGGTTAGAATGGAATCATTTGGGGATCTGGAACAGACTAATTCAATTTACATTATTTCTAGTGGGAAAAAATGATTTGGTTTTCGAACAAATTGCTTCTTAAGCAGGCTTCCAGTACGATTTAAGTTCAAGAACTGAGGTTCACTGTATTAAGTATTATTACAGTGATTCAATTTTCTAAGGTAAGCATGTCAAGCTCAAAGGCTAACACAGGCCAAATAAGGTTTAAGTTTATGTGGGCCGCAAGAAAAACAAAAGCTTCAGTTGTCGTAGAAACGTAGGATTATTTCGATAGAGACATGCTGAATGCAAAGGGCTGAAATAAATGAGTAATCGTTAACATAAAATAATAGAACATTTTAATAAAAATTAATATTTTTTCTTGAACATTAACTTACCAGACACTGAATAACTGCACAAATTAATAAGCGTAATGCAAATAAACCTATTTTTCTTGTTCTCCGAAAGCAAAATATTTCCTGTTGCTCACACCAAACAAGTCAGTACAAGACTAAGGATGTGGCACTCGGCTGCTAAAATATTCACTGCTGGAATTAGTGGAGAGAAATGGTGTGCCTGCGTGTAAGGCCCGTAAGGGAAGTGAATGCAACACGATTATAGTAATCAGTCATTAGCGAACATTGTAGTTCGTTATTAATAAAATTATGTATAACAGGATATTATAAAAATTAAGTTACGAAATTTTTATTAAAACGTTTCTTACATAGTGTTATATTTATATTTGCTGGGCTGCAAAAATATTCGTTGTGGGCCGCGAGTTTGACATGCTTGTTCTAAGACATCATCTAACTTCTCAGCTACTCTGATTTGTCAGTTTTATTATCTTCAAATAGATCTTTGAACTTTATAATATTATTATGAAAAATTATAACAATTATAATTGTCCAGTTGTAGAAACTATTTTTACTGCATTTCCAAGCATCAAAGACTCTCTGAATTACTCATTTCTTCTTTAAGGGAGGAAAACAAAGTTGTGGAAAGGATTGATATTTCTCCCTTTCCAATTATCTATAAACTGACATTTCTTCATTTGACGGTTTTTTACCTTTTCTTTGTTCTCTCGTATTTCCCTGTAGATGAGGATCTAATAAAGTATGGCTGGCCTGAAGATATTTGGTAAGTAACAATTTGGGTTCTGCTTTCAGTGGATCATTATTTATTTTCTTAGACCTGGCCAGCCACCTGACTCCTATGATTAAAACTTTTTCCATCTTCTGCTTACACCATGTTACATTACACCTTGTTGATGTCTCTCTCCTGGAACCTCATTCTGCCTATAGAGTGGGATATGGTCTCTACAGCTCTTAACACCCCTACCAAATGCTCTCCCTGAAGATAAGCTCATGGATCCTATTACTTTAATGATAGTAATAATGAACATAATTGAGCACTTAACTATATGCCAAATACTGTTAAATGTTTACTTCCATTAGTACATTTAGTTTCACATCAACCCTGTGAAATAGTTACTGATATGCCCATTTTTCAGATAAGGAAACTAAGGCTAAGAGAAACTGAATAGATCTGCTCTGGTTGTTGCTGGCCCCCGGTTAGCTGTAGTTCTAGATCACAACTTCTCTGTCCCTCTAAGCTGCTACTCTTGGCTGCAGGTTACTTCTTTCTTCTTCAAGCTGTGGCTGTGGTTCTCTCTGGACCTCTTTTCTCCAAGTGGGCCCAGGTCCTTCACTTAATTCCCTACAGTGACAGAGTTAAGGCTGCCACTTTTTAGAAGAGTTGATTGATTTTCAATAAGGTATACAGCATTCAACATTTAGTAGGAAAAATATTACAGTGACTAACTGAAGCTACCCCTAGACTCAGTTTGCTTACTTTTTCTATGCTCCTGCTGAAGGGTGCCTCCGCTCCTGCCCCTTTATGAAGGGGCTAATTCATGACCCCAGTGGAAATGCTTTCATGTCTGTCTGCCTTCTCTAAAGTCTACATGCCAGGAACCAAGAGGCACTAGAAACCTGAGGAATTTTACAGTCTTTATCTGCCCCCTGTCCCAGCACAATGGCCCATCTTCTGAACGCAAATATGTCATCAAGGTAGACAATGCTGGTACTCCCTTACCTCAGGTGGACAATTTGCACTGCTGCTGAGGGCTTCTGGGTTGGGTGCTGCCTACCTTTCTAGGACCCTTGATTGTAAGCCCCATGAAGACAATGATCTGCTTTGTTAGATTCCCAGTACCTAACATAAGACCTGGCACATAGGTTCAGTGACTATTTGTTGGTGATCTGCTTTGTTAACTACTAGATTCCCAGTACCTAGCATAAGACCTGGCACATAGGTTCAGTGACTATTTGTTGACTTCCTAATTGACTAGCTCTCTGCCTGTGTAGAAGTGATCTCCACTGGACATTTTTTCACAATAATTGCATTCTGGTTATCTCCATTTTGAGCACCTGTCACCCCCAGCTGGATTGTTTCAGTTGTCCTTAAAGCCCAAAGATTTCCAGACTCTATCAAGGGGGATAAGAATGGCTACACCTGTTAATGTAGTTACCTTTTGTAAATTTTTAAAAAATATTTTTTTACTGATTTCAGAGAGGAAGGGAGAGGGAGAGAGAGATAGAAACATCAATGATGAGAGAGAATCATTGGTTGGCTGCCTCCTGCATGCCCCCTACTGGGCATTGAGCTTGCAACTCGGGCATATGCCCTTCACTGGAATTGAACCCGGGACCCTTCAGTCCACAGGTCAATGCTCTATCCACTAAGCCAAACCTGCTAGGGCCCTTTTGCAAATTTTTAACATGTCAGGTTTGAGGCAGAAATGTTTGCATATATTCAGATGCACCATGGGAGTAATTTGCCATAGCCTTTTACCTGGCATTTAAGAAAAAATTTAAGAAGTGGAAAATAAATTTTCCGTTTACAACGTACACCCCATGTATTATGTCTTGGGTTTTCCATTTTGTTAACGTTGACTATCTCCCGGAATATTACTGAGCCAAACTGGTGTCTGCTGATACCTAGACATCCTTGACCCTTTTGACACTCTTTAATAGTCTTGCGATTAATGACTATTGTTGAAAGTGATTGACTTACTTTCAGAAGCTATTTGAGTCTGCCGTGAGCTGGAAGAACCCTAAATGTAAGACCTGTTCTGGTATATAAACTGTCAATCCTGGAGACATTCTTGGGCCTGCTAAGAAGGATGCAGTGATCTGCACTCCAGGGCAGGTTTTCCTGGTTCACTGCCTCACTCTGAGGCTTTACCTCTGAAAGTCAACATCTGAGTGTATACCAGGAAACCTCTGAGGTGCCTTTAAGCAAAGGATTTTCCTAGGACTAAATGAGAATGGAACTAATTCATCTTTAAACAAAGGAAAATAGAAATAGTGTATGTTAGATCTCTGGAAATACTAGTGAGTATATTGAATTGTTTGTGTATTTCTTTTGGTCAAATTTTACATCAGGGGCCTTTAAGGAAAATCAGAATACAATTGAGCTATTATGGGTATATAGGAGAGTTGTTGTAAATAGAGAAATGGTTTAAAACAAGTTGGAATGGGAGAAGTTACTCCTCAGTTGAGCTTGTTTATTAATGGGGTATTTTCCTAAGATCCTGAAAGAGGGTAATGAGATATGTAATTTCTAGATTTGCACACACACAAAAAAAAATTTTTCAGGAGAGGGGGAATGCCAAACTGGAGATGACAATCTGTAGGAATCTTTTACATGGAAATGCAAATGAGTTAATGAACCAGTTGGAAAAACATCAAGACGTTATTTATACTCACTTCTTGCTATCAGTAATGGTTAAGAATAAAATCTAGCTTTGTCATAGGCTGCCAAAATGTGTAATATTTTTCTGTATCCAATTTTTCAGAAGGGGGGGAATGCCAAACTGGAGATGACAATCTGTAGGAATCTTTTACATGGAAATGCAAATGAGTTAATGAACCAGTTGGAAAAACATCAAGACGTTATTTATACTCACTTCTTGCTATCAGTAATGGTTAAGAATAAAATCTAGCTTTGTCATAGGCTGCCAAAATGTGTAATATTTTTCTGTATCCAAAGTAACTAGCAAGATGCTTAACCTCTTTAAAGAGGACATTAGACACAGCATAATCTTAACCTTTATATAGAATCACACAGTGTGAACATTTCACTTCTGAAAAAATACATTAATGCTAAGAAAATGTCTAGAGAAGTATATGATGGTATGTAATGGTGCCTCCTTAGGGTTTTATTGTACATTCTTCAGTCTGGAAAGGCAAGGACTAAGGAGGAGATGACTAAAGTTAACAGAATCACAGAGTGACAATCATGTGATGCTAGGATTCTGGGACATCACTGGGTGTTGGAAGAGAGAATGTCAACTTCATTTGGTGAATTGTAAATATGAAAAACGTAATATCCCAAAATATTCAACCAGGTGAAAAAGAAAGTATATTTTAAAAGATGTAATTAAATTGGTGGATGATAGAGCCGTAATGAAAGATAAATTTAGGACATTGGGGTGGGAGGGCATTTGGATTTTTTTGGGACAGTGTCATAAAGGGCAATCACCATGCTCTCCTAGGAGACGTATACTGGTAGTAGTGCCATTGCCAGATACAAGGCTGGGTGAATTCTTGGACTGTCCCATTTTATGATGTGTCTGTTTACTATCTTCATTCCTCACCTGATTCTTCCAGCTCTGCTTGACATTCTCTTTGGGTTGTTTTGCCATTGCTTGAAACTCAGGATGTCCCAAACCAAACTCCTCATCTTTTACTCTAAATTGGTGCCCTCTCCTCCTGTAAGGTATTTCTGTCATTGGTCCTACAAGTCTCCCAAGGCTTGCAGCATTGGCGTCTTGCTAACTACTTTTATTCTCTTCTCTTCTTAACTGAAATTCCTTGCCCTGCTTTCTCTAAGTCCTGTGCTTCAGTCAGGGACCTACCAAATCTCAGTCTGCCAGTGAAGCCTTTTGTCACTGATAGCACTTTCTCACTTGAAAAAGCACCCGTCCCCCGGCATGTAACGTTTATTGTCTCCAGTACTCATCTTGACCCTTAGTCTCACACAGCTGTAGAACTTTTCATAAAGTTTACCTTACCTCTCCCAGTTGATGGTGAGGCCTGTGGAGGCCGTGACTGTGTTTTATACTCCCCATGATGCTTAGCATGTGGTAGGCACTGAGTTAATACTTCCTGGATTGGAATGCTTTAAATGCAGGTGGCCCATGGAGATGGTTGTCTGGTACGTCTTGCTAAAAGTGGTTTTCATTCTTTGTAGGTTTCATGTGGACAAACTCTCTTCGGCTCATGTATACCTTCGATTACATAAGGTAATTGGATTTAAACATGGATTCATGACTATTTCTTTAGTGATGAGCATCATATCTTGTCCTCTATCCTTTTTTTATGCAATTAAATTGCTTAAATTAATAAATATGTGCAAAAGTGTGAAAATTAGCAAATAAAGAGATGTCTTCCCCTGACGCAGAGAATCACTAAGGGAAATTCCGGTGATTTTGAGTACTATTTCCCAGCTAGAAGCACTGCTCTATTCTGTCAGTGCAGGTGTGTTCTCTGTCACCTCTGCTTTCTCTCCCTTTCATTTTTATTGACACTACTGGACTTCCCATCTTCTCCAGTGGAGATCACGCTGTGGTTCTTTTTTCTAAGGCTCATGATTTTCCTGCATCACCAAGGGCAGCTGTTCCCAGTTATCAAGGGTTTTGGGGGTTTAAAGCACCATTATAGTAATAAAGGAAGACGTTAATGTTCCCTAGTAACATAAAACCACTATTCCAATTTGTCTTTACATCCATGTTATATTTTATATAGTTGAGTCATAGGGTGTATATTTCCAATTTGTCTTTACATCCATATGTTATATTTTATATAGTTGAGTCATAGGGTGTATATATACTTGTTATGTGTATTGCTCTTTAGAATGTTTTATTTTGGGATGATTTTAGATTTACAAAGAGTGGGTACATCCAGTTTCCCTCAATGTTAGCATCGTACACTACCACAGTAGATTTGTCACAACTTGGAAACCAACAATGGTACATTATTATTAACTAAAATACAGACTCTATTTGATTTCCTCATTTTTTCCATTAACGTTCTCTTTCTGTTCCAGGATCTAATCCAGGGTCCCACAGTGCATTTAGTTGTCATGTCTGCCTAGTCTTTGGTCTGTGACAGTTTCTCAGTCTTTCCCTGTTTTTCATGACCTTGGCAGTTTGAGAAGTATTGGTCAAGTATTTTATATTGGTTATAAAATATGATGTTTTTGTCATGAATAGACTGCAGTTATGGGTTTGGAGGGAAGAATAACAGAAAGGCCCTCTCACTTGACACAGCTAGGAAATACATGTATTTATACTAATTCATGTATACACTCATGAACAATTGTTTCTGTATCTCTACCTGTGTCCACATTTAGCTAAATAGGAGCTCGTACCATTGTCTCTGTCCAATCCATTACTACATGGGCCATTCTTGCTTTTCCTCCTTGCTTATCTGTAAGATCCTTCTCAGACCGTGAGAAACCTAGCTCCCACCATCCACCTTTTATTTGCGTATTTATTTGACTTCAATATATGTGCAAATGGTTTCAGATTTGTTAACCCATATTCCCATACAAAACAACTGTATCAACTAAAGTACAGTGTTTATGTGCAGTTGTTTTTGTTTTTTCGCCTTAGAGTTTCTAGTCAAAACAGTTTTCCAAAGTTACTTATAAGCTCCCTCTCCCCACCCCCCCAGTCCCCTTCAGTGATGTTTTGTCATAAGCTTGTAATACAATTAGATTCTTTTGTCTCAGTTGACCTTCCATCCTGACATTGCCTGGTTGATTGTATTACTCCCTCTTTTTTTTTTTTTAAGTTGTTATGTAAGGGCTTTAAAGCAGTGTTCGCCAACCTTTTGGACCTCGCAGACCACCAGTTGGCGACCGCTGCTTTAAAGTTTTTTTTAATCCTCACCTGAGGATATTTTTCCATTGGTTTTTACAGAGAGTGGAAGGGAGAGAGACAGAGAGAGAAACATTGACGTGAGAGAGACACATTGATTGGTTGCCTTCGAACACACCCCAACCAGGTCTGATGATCAAACCTGCAACCTAAGTACATGCCCTTGACCGCAATAGAACCTGGGACCCTTGAGTCCCCAGGCTGATGCTCTTTCCGCTGAGCCAAACAGCTAGGGCTATTGTATTACTTTTGAAGTGACAGTCTATAAACTTTTTCATTTTACTGTGTTATTTTCATTTTTTTTTTGACTGACTGCTTTGAGTTGGCAGTATGCCACAATTAATATGAAAGCTTCTATGTCAAAATTTAGATTGTTTACACTTTTCAACAAGAGAGAGAGGAAAGGCAGAGAGAAACATTGATGTGAGAGAAACATTGATCGATTGCCTCCCGTACTTGCTCTGATGGGGATCGAACCCACAACCTGGCTATGTGCCCTGACGGGGACTCGAACATGCCACCTTTATTTGATTGTATGGGAGGACACTCTAACCAACTGAGCCACACTGGCCAGGGCAAGAAATATTTTTTATGAACTGCTTTCTGTTTTTTCTTTTGAATTATTTTTTAGAGTAATTATCAGAAATAGAATTATTGGGTCAAAGATGTAAATAGTTTGGTAACTCCTTTTTATGCCAGATTGCTCTCTGAAAGTATTGTGCTAATTTAAAATGCTATCACATAAATACAGGTTTCCCCAACACTTTTGGCAATTTTGTAACTTAAAAAAAAGCAACCAAATACATGATGCTATTTCATTATGGTTATAATAGTCATTTAATTTGCTAGCAAGGTTAAACACTATACCCCATCTTTACTTATACCAGTGATGGTGAACCTATGACGTGTCAAAGGTGACACACGAACTCATTTTTTTGGTTGATTTTTCTTTGTTAAATGGCACTTAAATATATAAAATAAATATCAAAAATATAAGTCTTTGTTTTACTATGGTTGCAAATATCAAAAAAATTTCTATATGTGACACGGCACCAGAGTTAAGTTAGGGTTTTTCAAAATGCTGACACGCCGAGCTCAAAAGGTTCGCCATCACTGACTTATACTCTTGTTTTTGAAAACTGTATTGTAAAGGAAGAGAGGAAGATTGTGAACTCTGTGCTGGAACAAAATTCTGAATTCTCCTAGGCCACTTCTTGCCATTTTGGAACTATTTTAAGTTTAAGTTTAGAAAAAATAGAGTGTGGTGTTACCAAATTTCCTTTTGGTTCACATGAAAGTTTTTCCTTTGGGTTCTGCTGTGTTAAAAAATGGAAATACTGGTGGTTATCCCAAGTTTGCATTACCACCAGTTTTTACTTGTTTGAATAGAAGTTTTAATGTTATTTTTGTTTAGAAGCACATATTGTGCTCAATAAAAATATGTGCTCTTTCAGAAACTCTTACCTGGTTGATCTCCTGCAGTAAATGACATAGACCTTTGTACCTAGTAGGTACCAAGTAAGTGTTGGAAATGCAATAGGACTAAGTGGTTCTGAGCTCAGACTCTAGGTTTGAATCCTATCTCTGCTGCTTGCTGTGACTCTAAGCAAATTATTTAACTGTGCTCATTTCATCATCTGTAAAGGGGAGCTAACAGTACCGATTTTATTGGGTCACTAGAGGCCTGGTGCACGAGATTCATGCACTTGGTGGGGGGTTGGGGAGTCCCTCAGCTCAGCCTGCGCCCTCTCGCAGTCCAGAAGCCCTTGAGGGATGTCCAACTGACGGTTTAGGCCAGTGGTTCTCAACCTTCCTAATGCCACGACCCTTTAATACAGTTCCTCATGTTGTGGTGACCCCCAACCATAAAATTATTTTCGTTGCTACTTCATAACTGTAATTTTGCTACTGTTATGAATCGTAATGTAAATATCTGATATGCAGGATGTATTTTCATTGTTACAAATTGAACATAATTAAAGCATAGTGATTAATCACAAAAACAATATGTAATTATATATGTATTTTCCGATGGTCTTAGGCGACCCCTGTGAAAGGGTCGTTCGACCCCCAAAGGGGTCGTGACCCACAGGTTGAGAACCGCTGGTTTAGGCAGTCGGACATCCTTGGCGCTGCCACGGAGGTGGGAGAGGCTCCCGCCACCGTTTCTGCACTCTCCAGCAGTGAGCCCGGCTTCTGGCTGAGCCAGTTGGACATCCTTGGCGCTGCCATGGAGGTGGGAGAGGCTCCCACCACCGTTTCTGCGCTCTCCAGCAGTGAGCCCGGCTTCTGGCTGAGCTGCACTCCCCCTGTGGGAGCACACTGACCACCAGGGGGCAGTTCCTGCGTTGAGCATCTGCCCCCTGGTGGTCAGTGCATGTCATAGCAACCGATCATTCTGC